CTTACCTTAGTGTGGCGGGTCTTGGAAGTGCGTGCGAGTCGGCTCTACTCTTCAGTGTCAATTGGGACAGCTATCCAAAGTCGTATGCCACAGCCCTTCCGTCTGTAAACATGTTCAAATGAGGCGGAGGGAATAAAGAAAGCTTTGTGAGCAATAGCTTTAGTTTGAACATGCACTTGCCAAGTAAAGATTGTGCTTGCCATAGTCTTTGCATCGAAAAACGCAATTGGACTGTTAGGACATTCTATCAGTGATAACCATGAATAAAGCATTGAAAGCATCTAAAGTGTTTGAGTCATGAAACTTCTTAGTACTTGGCCAATTCTCAAGACAATTTTATTGCTGGAATGTCCATAAGAATAACAGTCTTGAGCTAATTGGAGAGCACGGACCAAAAGGCATCTTGGGAGAGCTGTACATTTGACACGGTTCTCATTCGGCGCTTGCCCTCCTTCTGCTTTGCCAACAGCTTTTTCTTTCGTGTACTATCACCGCCTCCGACAGTCTTGCCCGATTTGATAAGTACATCCTTACGGTATGGAGCTATTCGTTCCTTTGCGAAGATCTTGCCGCCTAATGCCGCTTGAATCGAGATTTCAAACTGTTGCCTATCTATCACACGCTTGAGCTTCTGACACAATAAACGGCCGTCAGGAGTTGCTCGGCTTCGATGGCACACAAATGAGAGCGCATCGAGAACTTTTCCGTTGATCATGACGTCTACTTTGACAATATCTGACCTTTGTGGCGTGATTTCGCGATAATTAAGGGTTGCTTTAATGAAATGATACAATCACAATTTAGTAACATGAACCAAACACAAACAAAATAGGAACAGAACTCACCATAGCCAGAAGAAATCGTTTTCAGCTCGTTGTAAAAGTTTGTGACAATTTCTTGCCACGGTACATCAATAGTAACAATAACGCGCTCGTCTTCGAGGTAAACAAGATTTGTTTGAATACCACGCTTTTTCTTTGCCAGTGCCAATACAGAACCCAGATAGGAAGACGGAGTAATTATTGATGCTTCGACCATCGGTTCTAGAATGTCGTAGTACTTAGTCGATTCAGGAAACGCACCCGGAGTCTCAACAGTACACCGCTCACCCTTCGGTCCTATCACAGTGTACGGGACCATTGGCGCTGTAACCATCACTTGTATTCCCTGTTCATCCGAAAGACGTTGGTGAAAGACCTCCATGTGCAATAATCCCAAAAAGCCACATCGAAAGCCCATACCCAAAGCGCCACTTGTTTCCTGCTGAGTCGTCACACTGGCGTCATTCAACGTGAGCTTTTCGATGGCCACACGTAATTCATCGAAACTGGAATCGTCTGTAGGATACATGCTAGCAAACACCATACTTCGAGCCTCTTGAAAGCCTGGAAGTGCCTTCATATCTGCAGATAAAGCCCCCTCCTTGAAAAAAGTGTCACCAACCTTTGCTTCGGTCGTTGACTTCATACCAGCGATAATATAACCAACCTGGCCAGCATACAGTCCCTCTGTTTTGAATCGACTTGGCAATAGCAATCCTGTTTCTTGAACCTCATGCTTGGTCTTTTGGTGTGCGCTATAGATTCTATCTCCTGTAAATAATGCACCATCAACAACTTTCACCAAACAAACGGTTCCTCGATAATCATCGTAGAAAGAATCGACAAGTAGACATCTCAACGGTGCACTACGATTACACTTTACTGGAGGAGGTAATCTCGATACTACTGCCGGAAGCACCTCATTAATACCATCTCCAGTTTTTGCTGATGTCAGAAGCACATCATCTGGATCCACATTTAAAAGCGAGGACAAACTTAAGATACTGTCGTCCACTTCAGCATGTGGCATGTCAATTTTGGTTAATACTGGCACAACGTGAAGATTTCTCTCTTTCGCAGCATAATAAGTCGCCAATGTCTGAGCTTGAATGCCTTGTGAACAATCAACCAATAGTAACACTCCTTCGCACGCTGACAAAGATCGATTGACTTCGTAACTAAAATCCACGTGACCTGGTGTGTCTACTAAGTTTAGCATATATGTCATTCCAGTTATAGAATCTCTATGCAGCATCGATGCCGTCTGCGCCTTAACTGTAATGCCTCGTTCTCTTTCTACCTTTAAATTGTCGAGAAATTGAGCTTTTTCACGCTCTTGGCGAGAGATATTACCACTTGTCTCCAATAATCTATCTGCTAGCGTCTATACAGAATTCTTCATAATATTACAATGCTTTTTACATCAAATTTGTAAATTTGATGTCGAGTACGTACCGATTTACCGTGATCGATATGCGCCACGATACTAAAGTTGCGAATGCGTTCGGGTTCGAATTCTTCTAGCCTCTTCGACATGTACGACCCAATTGTCTTCGGGGTGAGAGCTTCGCCGTCATTTAATTCTTTTGTTACAGAAGCAAATGTGCGGAATCGGTGTGATACAGACGCCAGTTGACGTCGCAACACCAGCATTTGATTAGCTGCTGACCACGACGTTGTCGCAACTTAAGCGAATGGATGTCGACTGAATTTGTAACTGCAACTTTCTCTTCTTATTTTATATTGTTTGTTTCCAAATATAATAAATTTTCAACTTTTCAAGTTGCCCAATTTAGTGACAAATGCTAAAGGGATCGAAAAATATCCATTTACATGAAATCTTACTTTAGTAAATATGATTTTGATATTTAAAATAAGCTGTTAATATAATCAAATACGTCATCAAATGTGAACCATTCAAAGAGTGGACATAAAAGATAAACTACACTCCTCATGGGTAGCGCTTTCTCTACGGCATCGCCTTAGCCAGCACCAACATAGCTGCTGAATCTTACCAGCTTATGCCGCATAAGAAGCAAAATCATGACATCGTGCCAATTGGTCGTACTGACACCGAGATATTGCCCAAAAAATCTCTCAAAGGGAGTCATGACCAAGAATCATCTTTGGTGGATAAGGAGGAGCGCGCATCTTTAGCTCAATTGATTGAGAGTGCAGACTTTGATGCGAGTAAAGTACTGATTCCTTCAAATGTGGAAGTGATTGGAGCACACATTCCGTCTTTCTTAGGAGAGTCGATTATGAATGGAGTATACCTCGGTTCTCCCGCCGACCGAGTTGACATCATCAAGCTCCTCCACGAAATATCTGCATCCAAAAGTACGATGAATCGCGAAGACCTAAGCGTTCACACCCAACAAAAAGCCGAAGCGCTTCATGATGCCTACATCGTCGCTGCCAACGAATATGTCCAATCATTTCAAAATGCCTACAACGAATTCATGTCCAGCATCGAAGCAATTGACATGTCCAAAAGTGAAAAAGCTAAAGCTGCCCAGCTTTTCAAAGAAGCTAATGATGCTCTCAAATTCGATGTAATCGCCCGTGATTCCCGTGACCCCAATACTTATCATTTTGCCTCTACCACCCCCATTGAGAAAGCCAAACTTGCTCAACAACATGCCGACGAAGCCGATGCTCGCATAGAAGCATACCAACGCAAAGCTGTTCTCGCTTATCATAAGGCCAATAAGGCTTTTTTTTATCATCAGCACGCGCTTCAAGGTGCCCAAGACGCCGGCACTACCGCCTATTATAGTCGACTTAACGGTCAGCAGATCAGTCAAATGCTTGAGGAGCTCAAATTGACTTCAGGCAACTTCATCCCAGATATATCACTAAAATTTGAAAAACAAGAAAAGAGTGAATACGCCTTTCGCGATAAGGTCCAACACATTCAAAAAACTATCGGAAATGCTGCTAAAACGGCCTCTTCCGACAATCCCGTAAAGCTTCTCAATGGTCTGACAGAGATGCAGACTGAATTTTTTTTCCACATGGTCAACCTACCGAATTTGGCTACTTACGACGTTATCTTGTTCGAAAACAGTGAGGCTGATCGCCGGTGGGTCACACTTTGGTACATCGTTTTTCGCGAATTTTGCCTAAAAAACCCTGAGATTTGTTCAAACGGAGATCCCGAATCCCCAATCCAACAGATAATTGTTCGTCAAACGGCAAAGCGGCAAAAACTACACTAGTTCAAGGTGCGTTAATGGGGTAAGTCGAAACGATCTTGTAAGCTTGTGTGTCGGCAGATTTCGGTCTCAAATTAAGTGAGCGAAAATCGTGTCGCGACGAGTTGTCTGTTAGAAGTAGACGCGAAAATTGCTAACGTGAATCGCATACCTTGTGTTGCTTGCATCTAAAGCTGGTATCACAGCCGTGAAATCAACTAGCTAATTGTAGAGTATTTTCTGTTATTCCGTAAGGCAACCAAAACATTTCTCTACAACACTATGGTCAATGGTTGGCTTTAAACGCATTTGAGAAGTGTAGTCACGTATGGCTTGCTCTATAAACCTTGACCCCTCACACTCCATATTGATACGATCGTCTTCCAAACTGCTGAAAACGACAATTTCTATTAAGAAGAGGAATTAATGAATACTGTCGACCCACAGGTTGCACAGCTAGTTTGTGAGCCGCGGTATTCAAGAATGGTATGCATTGTTGAGTAATCAAGCACGCCATGATAGGGCCGGAAGTTTTCCTTTGGAAACCGTGTGAGCCGAGCCTGCTAACTAGTCACCGAGTGATTACTCTCACAAGTATGTGTGTAAGCGTTCACGGGTGGTGAGCTCATCAAGGATTGTATGTATAGCTAAGCAATTGATGATTTCCATTCCATGATCCATGCAGTACGTTTTTTAATGAGCAGACCTTCCGTTCAGGTCTCGTATTAGTATTCAAGTAGTGCCAGACACAATAGAGCCCACGTAGATTACAACATAATTGCTGTGATTGTGCGCGTGAATATCTTAAGCGAGATCACGCTGCGGGGGTATTTGCAGGGATGTGACGTTGAACGGCCATCGGGTCTGCCAGTTGATTGCGACGAGTCTGAAATTGTGGTGTTAATCCGAGACAATTGTCGGTGCAATAATAGGTGATGCAGCCAGTTTCACTAGGTCATGTCCTGAGACTTTAAGCGATAAAGATGTTAAGAGAACGCGTTCGAGGAAGGCGACCATGGAAATCGCCGTGATAGTACGTGCCGAATATGATACAGATAATGCAAGTGGTGATGGCTCAGTTTTTACAACCTTTGCTTATGAAATGAGTTTGTCCGAAGACAAACCCCATTGACGCGACCAAGGAGGGTTGCCGTGCACTAAAAAATAGGGATACATTAATATTGTCTACACAACCCAAATACGTTTAAAGCCAACCACTAGCTCTAGTTTAACTACGGGCATTGATCGTAGCGTTGAAGAATTTTTTTTTCTTTGCTTCACGTAAAGTTTGGCTTTAACGAGAATAACCATGAAATTAGCTAGTTGATTCAACGGCAGTGATAGCCAGCTTTAGATGCAAGCAACACAAGGTACGTAATTCACGCTAGAGATTTGTGCAATTGTTTCTAATTAAGCGTGCGTATGATCAGAGATAGCGGTTCTGACATTTCGATAAGTCAGAGCAGCGATGCAATTGTGATCTTTGATGTGAGCATGCAATTTGCGTAGTGTGGTTGTCATAGTCAGAATCGAAGATACTGGCAAAATCTTCGGATTGGGTATTACGTGAGAATTCGGCGAGATTGAGAGTTCCATGGTATGATGGCGACGTTAGCTTCGGCATTTTTGGAATTTTGAAAATATTCATCAAATTCGCCGACGACCTTGAATGCGTAGGCCATTCCAAATGCTTTGCTCGCGGCGACGATGTAGGCACCATGAAGCGCTTTGGCTTCTTGCTGGATAAGAGAGCTCAGGTCATAGCGATTCATCGAATACCTGGTTGCAATCGATGCATCACATTTTTGACGTGGTGGTAGGATAACTTGATGATGGCATCTCGGTCGGCGGGACAACCGAGGTATTCTCCGTTCATAATCTTCTTTTCTAAGAAACGCGAAATGTTTTCCTCAAGCCCTTCCACATTTGGAGAAATAAGTATTTTGATTGTATCGTTTTCTGCATTCCCAATCAATCTAGCTAAAGATGCGCGCTCTTCCATAACCACAGTAGATGCTTCTTCATCGTGACTCTCTTGGAGAGATTTCTTGGGCGAAATCTCGGTTTCTGTATGACCAAATGGCACAATGTCATGAAATTCTCCTTATGCGGCCAAGCTGGTAAGATTTTCAGCAGCTATGTTGATGCTGGCTAAGGCGATGAGCATAGCGGCCTTAAAGAAAGCGCTACCCATGAGGAGTGTTATTTATGTTTTATGTTCACTTTCTGAATGATACACATTCGATGCTATATTAACAGCTTATATTTTTTAAATCATTTCTTTTAAGTAAGAGTTTATTCTCACAAGAGACTGGTAAACTAATCCAAACATTTCTATTCTTTCAGATTTTATTTGTTTTTTATTATATGGACATTTTTTTAAACTTGCGTGCTTCCACTAAGGAAAATCTACTACAGCGGCCGGACCACTGCCGGTCCCACGCTTTGAATATCCTTTTATATATTTTGCGCATTTAAAGGTTTGATGTGGTCGAATTTAGCAGCTGCGCGGGGACTGGTTACGATGGAAAGGACAGTGACTAAGTAGAACGCACGGCACATGATGGAAGACAAGAACTGTGATTACGACGAACAGTGACTTTGGGGAAACAATGCTCACCACTCATCGATATTCAGTAAATAGACTTAATTGATTTGTTAAATCATTACTTTGATACAGAAATAATTAGTAAACATTCGTCATATTGCTGGATTCCCAGTAAAGTCTCACATCATCGCTACTTAAAGAAGCGCTGATTCTCATGAATTTTGTGTTCTTATTGATTCTAGTGACATTATCTCCATAAGGAGACGGTAACTCTCGTGATTACTTGCCCCCCCTTACAACTCCAAATAAAAATCTCTCCCTCATTGGCTACATCACAGGCAACTGTCATTTTTCGGAAATCCTGGGCATATCGAGGATTAGCATAACCACTTCGGGCATTATTGTCTATAGCAACAGTTCAACGGTCATCCGTTTGGAGGATATTTCATGAATGGGTGGCTTTATAGCAGCACGAAGAATAAAGATCCGGGTGGAATTGTCGGTTTTAATTTTTCAAAGCTACATTTAAAGCGGGTAGGATTCAGTGAAGGGACTTATGGTTTTAACAAAAGTGGGCAGTTTCTGGCGTAACTAAGCTGATTTTATTGGCTTGAACGGCTTCCAGCTTTTAGAGGCCATGAATGGGTTTTTCGGCTCTAGCGGCTTCGAGCTCTTGTTGAGCGTGCTCGACATCCTTTAAAAGAGTATCCTTATTAACTTGGGCAACGTTAGCTTTTTTTCGGCCACACGAGCCCTAAACTATGAAAGAATGGACTTGGCAGAAGCCTTTCCAGCTAACAGTTCGTAATTGTTGACCTCCTTCGTAGTTGAAAATTGTTTCATCCTTCTCCTTGATAAAATCACGGAGATACAAGGCGCGGACAACTTCAAAGTTTTGTAATTCCCGGGCGGTTTTCATGCTTTTGCCGCAATTGTACGCATGTATAACTGCATAAGCATGACCATTAAAAACTCACGAACTGGCTTTCTTCAGCGGTTTTGACAGCGTGGATGGCTTTTTCGTATTTGGCGGCTTCAGAGAAGTGAAATGTTGCGAAGATGTAGATCGTAAATGGCGATCTAGGCTGCTTTAGTGGCTCCAAAAGAGTGGGCTCTGACAGCGAAAAGAGCCCAGTGGACATCTTTGGTAGCTATCTTTGCTTGAGAAGAATGGTATGTGATGAAATTCGAAGCAGCTTGATAAACTTTGTAAGCTTCATTGGCGTCCAGGTGTTCGTTCTCGGAATCGGCTTTGGCCAATCGAAGCCTACCGACAGCTTGCTGATATTTATCTACAGCGTCGTCGTATGTCTTTTGGAGATGTTCGATTTTTTTGTCTTTTAAAACGGCGAATGAGGCCACATCCCCAGTTTGCATGATCACGTTGGTTAAGTGATCGTGTTGGTTAAACTTCCAGCTGTCCACTGCTAGCCTACCAGCTATTCTAGAAAACTCGAATCTTCACCATGTAA